AAGAATTATGATAGCTATTGTTGATCTCCTATTATCTTGTTTTGAAATCCTATAATGCTAACTATTTTGAAGACAATAAGACACATTATGGTACCCATTGTTGATTTCCTATTTTGTTTTGAAGTTTTGTATCACTTTCATTATTCTGTTCTGATTAGCTTTATTGTGTTTTGTTTGGTTTGATTTTATTCTCTTTAAAATAAAAAAAAATCAGCAATAGGTAAAATAAGTTATTTTATAATCATAAGATGAACTGTTATATAAGAAACTTAAATTACAGCTACATTCAATAATTAGGGTGAATCTCAAAAATTATAATGATGCAAATCCACATTTATTTATTTATTTACATTTGTAAAAATTATTAGGGAAACAAAGTAAATGATAAACAATGACCAAATAGTGATTCATCGCAAGGGAAGGAAATAAGATGAGAAAGACAAGTCAGGGGTTTAAAAAAGTTTTAAAAAGCAATGGTAATATTCATTTTTTAAACCGGGTTAAACTGAGTGCTTTTATGTTATTAATATGTCTTACAAAGACAGAGAATAAGACTATAGATTATCAAATTCCACAGACATATTCTCCTAAACCATAAAATATCGTGCCTTATTTCCTTGAGCACCTGCAATCTGCCCTGGAGTGTGTCCTATATCTTTGGCTAATAAATATTTCTTATGCCTTTATATGGCCTCTTATGCCATAATATGTCTTAGATGTAATCTATAAATTGCTTGAATATCTTCCAATATTTAATTAAAGCATTGAGGAAATGAGAAAGAAGAAATGACCAGAGTAAATCATAAAGCTAGCAGTACAGGCTGAGATAAGCACCTAGAAGCTGGCCTGGGATCACAAGCCCTGGAGTCCCTTCTTACCTGGGAGTTCTATCTGGATAGTGGGACCAGCTTCTGTAACTACTCAGTCTTTTCACTTGTTACATAGTGTTAATGCTATCCAGTACACATAGGCCTTCTGAAGATGAGCAGACGGTGAATACAACAGCATAGCACCTTGCTCTACTCTTTGGTGTAAGATGGTGGAGTTATTCTGAACAATTTCAGGTAAGCTTGATGGAGAACAAGCAACCCAATACCTGTCTCAACACTAAAGCCCCTCCTTATCTGGGGCCTAGCCTAGCTTCTAGAAACAGACCATGGTGCTGCTGTTTCTGCTTCCCAGGTATAGGGCTGACTACATGATAGCACTGATGTCAGCTATGCAAGGGAACAGGGGCGCACTCAACCAAAGAAAGAGGAATGTGGGCACCCTGGGTCATTGCCAGCAATGGAATCCAGTGTGAAGGTGCCAGCTCCATCTGAACATCTCCGTCTCCTGTGAGCCTGGACCATGCTCACCAGCAAGTTCAAAGGGTTCAATTCTGACTTTAAATCTTTTGGAGCAAATAAAAATAACCAGTCTGTGCTACTGACCACACCTCATGCTGCTACTGGATTCGGTGAACACTGCTTCCTTCCCTTTCTCCACACAAAAGAAAACCCTTTTAAAAATTATATCCCTGTGCAAACCAAAGGCTTCTTATTTGTTAGGGATTTTGTTTTATTTCTTAATTCTGCATTTTTGTTCACCCTTCACCTGTACCCATGAAGAAACAGAAGCTAAGCACAGGCATGTTCACTCAGCTGGTAACTATGCATTTATCTTCCTCTCCCCATCCCTCCAACCCGCCTTACTATTTTTCTTTCTTTCTTTTTTTTTTTTTTTTTTTTGTATCAGGGATTGAACTCAGGACCTCACACTTGCCAGGCAAGCACTTGTGCCACTGAGCTATATCCTCAGCTCGACCTACCTTAGAAGTGCAGGGCTGATGGCCTGGCCGGGGCAACCCTGCAGCCTCTGCCCACTGAAACAATCCACCTTCCTTGGTCAGTAGTGGCTTATGTGAAGGTCTTCTAGTCCCCAGAGGGGACTCAGATTCTATTTGTCTTTGCACACTATCTTCCCTTCTTGACTTGCCTATAGTGCATGTGTCCAAAATGAAGCTGAGTTGCTTTAATTTGGGGTTGAATCCTCAAAGCCAAAAGATCCCCCTTTTCCTAACATTTGAATCCTGAGCATTTGGCCTGGCCAAGGACCAACATTATTCACCTTTTGTGGACCCCTCATGATGTGCTCCTCATACCACCACCCCAATATGAAGCTCACCATCTTTGAATGTAGGGACTGTCTCCTATAGTGTGCCTACCTCCTCTGAAACGAGGACATGAGTAACCACTGTAAACTCCATCAGCCCATGTCCTCAGTGATCTCAGAAAAATTCCTGGGGCCAAGCCCTGGACGTCTCATACATGCCCACTCTATCCCACCCCACCATGGTGAAAAAGTAGACTGGCCCCACCCTAGGGATGGCCCAAAGTATCCCTTCTCACCACACCCAGAGCCCAAGGTGTCTTCAGGAGCCTGCCAGGACTGTCTGCCAAATTCCTAGGAACCCCACACTCCATAACAATGCAGCCCAGGCACCATTCCTTCTCCAGGCTCAGCCTACATCCTCTCTACTCAAAAACACTTAAGATGGTTTTGCCGAGAGGGACATCTTTTCTGATGCAAGTAATGGCTCCCTGCAATATTAATAGTGGGTCCCCAGGCCTTGAGAGTCAATGACTGACTCCTAGAGATCAACTGTGAAGCAGTCTTTCTGGTGGCTGGTACAACACCAGGCCAAAAAGAAATCACTGAGAAGTTAGGACACAAGAGATCTGATCCAAAGAAATTTATTGTGTAATTACTTACAGCTGGATTTAACTCAGGACACCCCGCCCCAGATGGCATCTTCCAATTTATTTGGGCTTCCTGAAAGTGTCATAGGAGATCACAGCCAAGACCTCCAGGAAAGTTCACCCTTTTGTTACTGCCCAGGCTAGCGAACAATTGTTCGATCTCCACCTCATGCAGATTCTAGCGTTAGAATGAGAGGTGCAGGCTCAGTGTTAGCAAACATCCTAGGTTCTCTTCTTCCTCCTTCCTAGGTAGCCTCTTTCTCTCATGCAAACCACTCTAACTGTCACCAAGGATGGTAATCTCTCTTGGCTTCCGATTGGCTTTACTTCTCCCCCACCCCTGCCTCTTGCTCAGATGGAGTGAACACCTGGTGAGAGCACCTGCCCCCCCTCTAAGCAATAGATGGGTTAGGCAGTGAGTGAACAAGTGGAGGCAATCGAGGTTGGAGCAAACTACTCACAAGGACCCCAGGGAACCCCTTCTCCGTCAGCTTCCTGAGCTCCCCCTTTGTAAGGGTGTTCTTGTCACCATCCCTGCCAGCATACATGTGAAAGAGGGACACAAGGTGACCAATGATCTCATCCAGACAGGGTGCCATGGCTGCCAGCTGGTCTAGGAGCTGGTGGCATAGGGGTTGTCCCAGTCGAGAGGACTTCTTGTTCACCACACACCCCAGGAGCTCTGTTCTCGCCACCTGCAACTCCCTTTGCTAGAGAGTAGGGCCCAGGGGACCAGAGCTGAGGAGGAGAAGTGGGTCAAAAGGCTCCAAGGGCTTGGGCTGGGGATTTAGCTCAGCAGCATAAGCACCCACCTTGTAAGTACACAGTCCTGAGTTTGATCCCCGTACAAAAAAAAAAGGCCCCAAGGAGCCATTAGACAGCTTTGGGCAGGTTGAGAGCTGGCTCCCCAGGAAAAGTTGGAGAATATGAGAAAGTTGGAGAATATGATTGGGCAGAGACCATCCTGGGCCATATAACGATAGAGGCACACCCAGGCCACACCCTCCAGCATCCCAAAGAGCCCCATGAGAGCCACCCCACGGAGATACCCTAGTCAGAGAGCTGCCCGGGGTGGCCTCTGCCCAAGCTTTTCCCTCCTCAGTGCGGATCCAAAGCCCGCCGCAGAAGCCCCCACACCGGCCAGGACAGGGTGTCTGAAACCCAGCCAGCGAGTGCAGGCTGAGCTGCGCCACTCGATTGCCCCACCAGAACTCACTGCACTGGTCAGCGGCCAGCAGAGCGCTAGGCGGTGGTCGAGGGGTGGAGTGCCCCGCCTGGCTGCCCTTATATGGGCCGATCCGGAAGGCAGGCATTGGCAGAGTCCCCAATGCCACCTCCCGGGCCCCACCCCGTGCACACTAGCCCTACTCTCCACTCCTCCCGTCCTGGCTGCTCCGGGTCTGGAGCAGAGATCTGTCAGGCAGGACGAGGTGACCTGGTGGACGCCACTGCAAAAGGACGGCTGGCGGCTGGTGTGAAGTCCTAATTCCCATAATTAAGTTTGCACCTCCTGGCAGGCACAGGGCACCGGGAAGTAGGTGTAGTCACCCGCTTCTTCCCCAGCTACCTACCTGCCACTGCTTACTTAGCGCAGGAGCAACGTCAAGAAGGTGTGGGGATGCCCCACCCCAAGGTGGTGAGGAGCAATTCCAGGAAAGGGTCTCGAGAGCCGAGGCTACAAGGATGTGTGTAAGGGATCTGAACGTCGGTCCCCACAAGCTATGGGTTCCACTCATCCCTCACCCTACTGCCTGAATTCCACTCAGAGAGCACTCTGCAAGCACTGTTAGTCATTCATCCTTTAGTGAAAAGTTTTTCGGCCCAGGTCTCCTGAGACGGAGAGGGAAAGAAAAAAAGCAGTGATGGCCAGAGACTCTCGGGGCTGGGTGCTGGGTGCTGGGGGCTGCTAAAGTGTAATGGAGGAGAGGTGTAGGGAGCTGTGTGCATGCCAGGGTCCCCTGGTACCAGTCACCTCCTGCATGCTGGCCCCAGGTCAGACCTGTGCCCACTGCTGCCCTGGGAGCCACACCCCAATCATCCCATGTTTGCTCTGTCAAACCACTTCCCCACTCCACTTTGTGTGCCTCCTTGCAACAACTAAGAAGCATTTGAAAGCCTGGGCAGCTTCCTCATTGTTCAGAAGAGCAAAGGATAGCATTGGGTGGGAGTCTGTTACACTGGAGCAGGGAAAACCTCTACTTGGATGCCCCACCAGTGCCAAGGTGAAGAAGACACTGTCAGGACCAGGCAGCTGCCCAGTGCTTGGAATGGAAACTCTTTATTTCCTCTCATGGAAGGATCCATCAAAGAGGAGGGGATGGGGTCAAAGAGGGTCTGTGAGAGGAGCTATAGCAGTCAGGGGCAAGGGGGTGACAGGGACGACAAAGGGCAGTCCAGGTCATTTGTTGTCCTCCAGGAAAAAGTCATTGTAGGCCATGCACAGCGTGGTTAGGAACACCGAGTACTCTTTGAAGTCAATCTCCAGATCACAGTTCTTATCCAGGCTCTTCATCAGGTCATCAATGCTGCTCTCCTTCATCTTCTGGGAAGACCCAGGATGAGAGTCAGCTCAGGAGCCCCTCCAGCCCTGCTCCACCACCCACTGCTAGGCAGGCTGAGGGTGTCCCCACTGTGAGCAGCTCCACCCCAGAGTCTGGACTCAGCCCATACCCGGCACAGAATGACCATGGGGGCGGGGCAGCCTAACCTCCCTTCCCTACACCTTCCCCCAGCAAAAGGAATAATAATCTAGGGCTGCTTGTAAGGGGGCCCAGACAATAGATCTTTCCCTGAGACAGTACACTGCAATGAGCAAATCTAGTGCTCAACTGTACTCTGTCTGGTGCCCTATCCTATTACCCTGGCTCTACCAGAATGGAGACAGCCATCATCAGGAGAAAGGTCCTATTCACTGTCCTCAGCTCTAGGACTTCCTAGGTTCCAGGATATGGAAGAGATGGAAATTGTCTGCATCAAGATCCTAGTCCCCAGCTGGGCCCCTGTTTTGCCCAGGCTGTCCCTTGTGCTCCTGTCCCCCAGTAATTAGCCCCCAGGGACTAGTGGCCCCTCCTTCTGCCCTCATTAACTCCAGGAGCCTGGCAGAAAGTCCAGAGATCATTGTTCACCCCTGGCTTAATCCCTTGCCCAGGAAAACACTCTGGGACCTTCTGTCTGAGGGCCCACCAGGGTTCAGGATGCTCTGGAAAAGTCTGCCCCTAGGCTGAACAGTAAAGGAAAAAAAGAAGAAACACAGGCCAGGAACTTGTCCACCTCAGCCATTCACTGGACAAGTTCTGTAATATATCTGAGCCTCAGCTTTTTTTAACTGTAAAAATAATGTCATGTTTACCACATGGGCCTTCCCTCCATCTCTGTCTCCTGTGAATCTGTTCTGTTTCCTTCCTATCCTCTGTCCACAAATTAATCTTTTAGTTCACATGTCAACACAATCCGAGGGCAGAGGCCTAGCACACAAAGGAAAATTAGGCCGTGTCCCTCTCCTTGAGTTGTGCACAACCTGACCTGGACACCCCAGAACTCTTTACTTTCCCTAGCACAGGTTCTGCTACACTATGACACCTGGCCTGGCCATCAAAGCCTGCTTCCTCTGGTTCTGTAGCTTCACGCAGGTTGTAGTGCATGACTCAGCCCTGCTCCTTCTCAGTGAGACCCCAACTCATTCTCAGAACAGAGGTCTTGAGCTATGTTGACTTGAGATGTCCAGCCTCTTCCTTCTGTCTCTGGACATACCCTTCTGCCAACCTGCCCCTAGGTTAGAGAACCCGAGGATAGGTGTGTGTCCCCCAAAGGGACCACTCAGACTTGGTGATAGAGATGAGGGAATGGTTACCTACCTCCCCAAGATTCAGTTCCTTCTTTATCAGCTCCTTCAGTTCCTTCCTGCTCAGGGTCAGCTTGCTACCCTCTCTTCCTGAATATTTGTGAAAAGTGGTGACCATCGTGGTCAAAGCCTTCTCAAGAGGAGTCTCCATCACAGTGTTCAGCTCTGGAGTGGGTAAAGGGAAGCATCACAGTCCTCAGGAAGCCAGGCCTTCTGCTCCCAGTCACAACTATTCTACCCCTACACCCCTCTTTCCAAGGCCTGGGGATTTGAACCCACAGTGAGGCCAAAATCCACCAAGAATGTTCACCCAGGTCTGGACAGGTTCTGTGAGACCAAGGAAAATGCTGAACAACTGGAACAGTGAGATGCACATCCCCTAAGGAAGAGTCCTCTGCTCAGAAGGTGTTGACAAAGGGGCCTGGGAATTGACAGGATGATTCCCCAAAAGAACTGGTGGCAGATAGGGGAGAAGATATAGGATCAGAATGTTCTCTCTGCCCCCATCCAGATGGACACTGGTTTTCCAGTGGCAGTTTCCACATTAGTCATCCACTTTTCCAGTACCCTCAGCAGCTGATATCAAGGAATGCCTTGCTATAAAAGTAGGGGATACTGCAGAGAGTCCAGGGATAAAAGTGGGGTTTGGGGAGGCGGGAGATAAGGTCTCAGCAACAAGCAAGACTTGCCGCTGACCTTAAGTCACAATCCCCAGAGCTGCTCAAGACCTGCATCCACAGACTGGCTGGGAGGCAACAATCTCTGAGACCTGGATCCAGAGCTTGTATTTGAGTGAAGGCCTCACTTCTGTCAACAGAGCCACCCACATAGAGAAGAGGCAGCTGGAGCTTCTGACTCAGACCTAAAAACCACATCCCTTTAGGGAGGAAGGAGGCAACACCCACAGAATTTAAGTGCTATAGGTAGATCCTGTGGGGAGTCTGGAGCCAGGAGGAAGGAGGTGCTGGCTCCCATTTCCAACCCAAAACCCACTCCGCAGTTCTTCAACTGGGGCATCATTCATCTCCCACCACCCAAAGACCTCAGCTTCTCCCACCTTGAAAAGACTCAGCCAGGACCACAGGCCAAAACAAGGGCCTCTGGACATCTGCGAGAGCATTCTGGCCAGTTCTGGTTCCCATCTCCATCTAGAGCTACTTAGCAAGAAATTCTTATAGTCACATTCCCAAACTCTGCTCCTTCTTCCCTGAGCACAAACCCATTTGCAGAGCAGGGCCTTCTTTGTGGAAGTGGCTGTTATTTGTCACCCTCTGGCTTCCTCACCCTGTGCGGCCCAGCACAGATGAGCAGGGACATCAGAAGGAAGGACTCACCAAGAGGGAGCAAACCCAAAGAAGCCAAGCAGCAGCAACAGCCTCCCACCCACCCACTGCTCTCTGACTTTATTCCCTTGCTCTGAGTGCCCAGGAGATCAGATAGAGATGCAGCCAATGAGAAGGGGTGAATGCACCCTGTAGAGTATGCTCTTGTGAGTACCTCCTGCTACTTTTACCATCCTTGTTTACAAACATGGGCAAGGAGCACCCTGAGTTCACCATGGTGCACATGTCTTCAACTCCAGAAACTTTGCTTTTTCAGTCAAAGCTCAGAACTCACCACATGACGGAGCAATAGGCAGAAGAGGAGAGGTACAGGTTGGTCAAACATAGGGCCCTCCTCACATCCGAGGCCACTCTGCACAGAGACCCTCCCACCCACCACAACAAATCTCCATCAGTCAGTGTGGGAGAATATTTCCTCCACACACAGTCAATGTCATCAGCTTCTATGAAGCAAAGAGTTTTTAAAGAATGGGATTTGTTTTGTTTTGTTTTGTTTTTTGAGATAGGATCCCTCTATGTCATTTAGGCTGCCTTGGACTATGAAGCCTTGCACTCACAGTGAACTTCCTGCCTCAGCCTCCTGAGTGCTGGAATTACAGGCATACATGTGCACCACTATTCTTCTAAACCTTCACAGAAAGAATTGTCTGAGACTGCTGACACAGAGAACTGAGAATCAGCAACTGGAGAAGATTCAGGGGAAAGCCTGGGGATGGGGTAGAGGTTGGATGGGTGAGGGTAGGTTTAGTGTGTGCACAATGAGACACAGAAGTATCGGGGAGAGTTCCCTGTGTCCCAGACATTGCTCCACCACTAAGAAAACCAAGCATGAGGACAGAAGTGGACTAGGGACTTAGTAACCATCCCTGCTGCAGTCCCACCCGAGCCTGCCTGAATCCTCCTTAGTTCCCCCTATGCCTTCCCTACCCCCAGCTGCAATGTTAGGAACTGGTTGCTAAGTAACAGGAGTTTCCAGTAGGCGAGATGCAGGCTGAGCCTCAGGGGAGGGCACTCCCGTGGAAATGGGCAGACTGACTGGGAGTAAGAAGGGGAAACAGCAAATTTTTCCTGCACCAAGGTCTCTAGAGTTCAATTCCAGGGGAACATCTGAGTCATCTACCCTACTCTTCTGAAGCTGCAGGGGAAAAAAGCTCTGGGGAGGAAAAGAGAAGCCTGGAAGGTTAAAGAAACCAAGCCCTCCAGCTCCTAGCTGAGTATCTGTGCACCCTTTACTTAAGTCTCCATGTCTCCCAGGCATGGCCTTGAGCTCTGGAGCTACAGCCTTTAACTTGTTCTAAGTGAAAGGAGCATCATGCTTCATGTTTTTGGGTGGGAGAGTTTCTATATCACTTCACAGATCGTGTGTCTAGAATTTTGTCTCTAAATCTATTGTCATCATCTTCCTTATCACCCCCAGCCATTGCCCCTAGCTCATCCCTTCTGACACTCTTGTCCTCCTCTGAAAGAGCACAATTCCTCATAACAAATCTCATCCCAGGAACTCACGAGCAGAGAGAAAATAACTACCTCATGCCGCTGGAAAAGATCCCCAACTACACTGCTTCCCCGACCCAGCCGTGGAAGGAAAGGATTACTCAGTTCCTGTGGAATGAAGCCAGTGAGCTGGAAGGGGTAGCAAGCAGGGCCTGGACTGTAAATGTCAGGACTGAGGGACAGCGTCCTCCCATCCCACTCTGGCCTCACAACTCCCTCCTCGTGACTTAGCCCTATTGTGTTTCCTCCAAATCCCAACCAAAAGCAGATGTGACCTTCAATTCCATTCCAGTCTCAGTTTGAGGTCCTGCCAGAAACAGAGCTGGAGAGAGGTGGGAGGGACAGCAGGCTAGCTAACATCCCCCAGCTGGGGCTTTCCAAGCTCCTGGTGGTCCCTTTTCCTTGTTTACATCCTATCAGAGTCCACTTTACCACACACACACACACACACACACACTCAACACCTCATATCCCTCTTAGTTTTCACTAGTTAACTATCCACAAAACTGCAACTCAACTCCTGGTGTTCCCCACTGTCACCCGATAACATATTCCTCAACCCCAACACACTCTGCCAAGCTCTGTTCCCAACAGTAGCTTCCAAAATTCTTTATTGAATTTGCTCAGCATCATATACACATCTGAAAAAACCAGAGTGAGGCGCTATGCTCACTGCCACATGGGAGGGCCCCAGCTACAGACCCCACTCCCACTCCATTGCATGTGAGGAGCCATCACTTCTTCCGGGGCTGCTTATCTGGGCAGCCTTCGAAGAACTCATTGCACATCATAGCAATGCAGGACAGGAAGACACAGTACTCCTGGAAGTCCACCTCGTTGTCCCGGTTGCAGTCCAGGTTGCTCATCAGCTTCTGAAAAGCAGCTTCATCCGTCCTTTTCTGAAAGCAGAAGAAGCTACAGGTTAAACACAGAAGCCAAGAAGGGGTGGAGAACCGGGGCTAAGACTACACTGGGTTTCTGCCTCTAGACTGGAGCTCAGGAAGGCTAATGGCTTTGGAGTTTCAGGACTAAGCCACGGTGGAGAAAATTGTTCCCTGGATGAAGAATTCTCAATATCTTGAGGCATTGGGAAGTGGTGGAACTACATCTTCACTCACATTTGTTTTAATTATCCAATTAAGCAAAGTCATGAAAGCAATGTGTTAACACCTGTAAGATGTTATTGTTGGGGCAGGGGGAGTCTGTAGGTGTGCATATGTCTTCATAATTGTGTCTTCACACAGAGAAGAAACCCAAAGACTGGCCACTGTAGGGCTGATGGTGAAAGTCAAACAGTCCTGATCTGGATCACAGTTTTGTTTTGTGGTGTGGAGAATGAACCATAGTGTCATGCATGTTAGGCAATCACTGTACTCTACCACTGGGCTACACCAGTTTTGTACGCTGACCACATCAGAAGCTACTTAGCTCTCTGAGCTTTACAGTTCTCTTCAATTAATTAGTACAAAGCACCTAGAAGAGCACCTGACAAGTGAGCATTCATTCTTGGTCCTTTGTTGGGGACCATGAGTAGTACTGTGTTTTTCCACACCAAGCAACCAGATCTCACTCTCTAATCCTGTCTCCTGACAGCGATACCTCCAACTGCATTTTGCTCTGCATAAAAGCTAAAGCCTCCTAGGCCCCACCCTCTTTTGGGGGCAGACTGCACAGAGAGAACCACTCCAAGGCAGAAGCCACTCACCCCCAAGAAGCTGGACAGCTCACGGGTCAGCAGCTCCTTCAGCTCTGATTTGTTGAGCTTGAACTTGTCACCTTCTTTACCCGAGTACTTGTGGAAGGTGGACACCATCACATCCAAGGCATTCTCCAGAGGAAGAGCCATGGCAGCCTCTGACCTGGGGACAGCAGGCAGTGAAGCACCCTTATCCCCCATCCCCAAAGATGAGCTTAGAGTGACTCACTCCATCCCCATCCTTGAGGTGCCACCCCTGGGGAGCCCAGAAAAGTGGGTCCATCTTCTAGTAGGAGGGGTGCACAGCAGGGTGAAGATGGCAAACATTTTCAGGGACCTCTGCACAGGCCCTGGAGATCCAGGCAGCCAGCAAGCCAGTTCCTGGGCCTCCCTCAGGCCCTCGCCTCAACAACATTTTTCCACCCTAGCTAAATCCAAACCACTCCCACAGCTCAGCCACAAGCTCCCCGCCCTGCCCTCGCCCATTCTTCTCTCCTCCAGTGCTGGGCGCGGTTGCTGGAAGCCTGCCCAGAGACCTTCAGGGGAAAAAAACAGCCACCAAATGGTGAAAGAAAGGTGGGGAAGCCAGGCTCTCTTGGGTTAGGCACTGAGTAGCGGGCCAAGGCTCATAGGGCTCTACCAGTCAAAAACCCACAGGTGCCTTCACCATGCTTCCCATACCCACATATGCACACATGAGCTTGTGCAGCCAGCAGTCACAAGCCAGTGTGCCAACCACAGGTCACACATACCACGCACACTATAATAGTGTAAATCTAGCATCTTGGAAGTTCTCGTAGAGCTCAAATCCAGCCACCTACACACTTTTCTGTTTTTCATTTTTTGATACACACACATACACTCCCCAGAGCCTGCACACCAGCCTCATGTCTGGATCTTCTTAGCATATCTGGTCCCCACAGCCTCCCATTCTGCTGTGCCAATTCAGGCTCTAACCACCCCTGCACAACTTACCAGACCAAGAGAGGAAGTGCTGAGCAGAGAGGTTTGGGGAGAGCCCAGCAGTCTGACCTATTTATACCCAGCAAGGCCCTGCCCATGAGGGGATGGGGAAGAACGGATACTGCCCTCCTGCTGTAGGCTGATGTTATAAGTGCCACAGCCCAAAACCACCCTCCACCAACCAGCCCAGCCTGGGAACCAAGCCTCCCATCCCTAAGCAGACCCAGACAGGCAGTGAACCCTGTGGACATCATCAGGGACCTTAATGGGGTGGGCACCACTCAGATTCCACAAATCAGCCAAGTTTAGGGAGCTAGAGGACAGGGCAGTGTGAAAAGGGGGTGTGGGGACCAGGGAGGGAATCACTGCACCAGGCAGAAAGCAAAGAAGTTGCAGGGCAGTGGATACTGCACCAGAAATGCAGCTGCCCAAGAGCTGGAGAGGAGAGCCCAGGCGTGTGCTATGCACAGCTCAGCCAGCCCTTCTTCCCTCCTCAGAGGGGTCACTCCCATGCCAGGCAAGGCCTGGGGTGGAGACTTGGGCACCAGGAGGGGCTCTGGGACTCTCCCCAGGAATGTCAGGGAGAAAAGTCTTGGAGAGCTAATAATGTGGTGGAGAAGGGGACAAAGTGGGGGCTCCGGGATGGGTGAATGTGTAAGAGAGGCTGTCAGGAGGGTGTTAGGGTCCAGGTGAGTGTCAGGAATGAAGAACCCAGATTAGGGTGGAGAATTAGAGGTGAAATGGCACAAAGCTGGGGAGTCAGGCTCAGGGTCAAGCCCTCAGGATAAGGCCTGAACTCAGAGATGAATGAGGGTCAGAAATGGGGTTTAAAACCCTCAGAAGGTGGCTGGGACCAGCTGCTTCAGGGGTAGGGTCTGTCTCAAGGTACTCTAACCCCCTCCAATACAAAGCACCCCTCCGTGGCTTTCAGCAAATACCCTAATCCTATTAGTGCAGCTCTCTGGGCTCCCCCACCCATGCCCTGCCACACCCACAATCCACCCCTGTCCCTGAATATCTGGTCATGAGAACTGAGTTCCGTACCCAGAGACCTCTTCCTCCATTCTTTTTTGCTTTGTAGTCTGGATTTTTTATTTTTGGTTTTAGGTTTTGGGTTTTGGTTGTTGTTTTGGTTTGGTTTGGTTTGGTTTGGTTTTTTCCGTAGTACTAGAAATTGAACACAGGGTCTCAAGCACGCAAGGCAAGTATGCTGCCACTGAGATAAGTCTGCAGGCTCCTCCAGCCATTCCTGACAGACCAAAGTGGGGTTTCTGCCTCTAAGACACAGATAAAGACAGAAGAGGCAGGTCTTCCAGCCTCCCCAGACTCTTATGTCAATCCACCCCTCCCACATGAACATTGAGACAAGTGCTTCACAAGGCCTGAAACTGCCCTCAGGGCCCATGGGGAGCTCTGGTTCCTCTCGACCTCCTTCCTCCTGTAGAAAAGGCCAGAAAGGAGGACTCCATTCTGAGATCCAGCGTATCCACTTGAAAGAACCACATCAAGCCACCTTGCTGCCATGTCTTTATTAGTTACACTTCCACCATGGTCTCATTTACACATATACACCTGCTGGACCTCCTGGGCATTCACAGCAGAACCCGACCTCCTCTCACCCCCACCCCAGAAAGGAAGTGGAGTCAGGAGCTGCTCTGCCCCTCACCAGCTGGGCAACTAGATCTCATGGGTAAAATGAGTTGGCACAAGAGGGGCCAACTCAGAGGGTTCCATATTGAAAGAGATGCAGGAGAGAAGGTAGCTGAGGCCAGGATCCCCTCAGGACCAGACATGGAGCAGCCTGCAGCAGGCCAGCACCCTTCTGGGGCAAAGACTACTGAGGGCAGGGAGGGTCTGGAGCACAGTCCTTGAAGTAGTCATGGCAGAAGAGACAGATGCGGGCCAATGAGTGCACGTACTCCTCAAAGTCCACCTCACAGTCCTTGTTGCTGTCCAGAGCACTCATGAGTTTCTCGTAGTCACACTCTCGAAATTCTGTCTGTGAAAGGGAGGGTTGAAGCGGGAGGGGAGGCAGGTTGAGGAGGGTAGAACAAATTTCCACAGCAATTCCCCTCTGGGAGGACCAGTCCGTCCCACCTCACACTCTCCTGGGGGTCAACCTCAGCTGACAATGTGATTTCAATCCAATTTCCAAATCCCCCTTCTCAGGGCACTGACTGAGCACCTGCTCTTTGCTACTGAATCCTGTATTCTTCACAGGGCTTCCCATAACCTTCCCAATCTCTGCAACGCCAAGGAACAAGATTGACATCCCACTTCACAGATAGGAAACTGAAAGCCAGGCATGGTGACACACACACCTTTAATCCCAGCACTAGGGAGGCTGAGGCAGGAGGATCATGAGTTCTAGCTTACCCTGGATTACATAAGGAGAGCCTGTCTCAAAAAACAAAAAAAAATAGGAAGCTGACGTTCATTCAGCCCCTTCTTAGCATCCCCCCACCACAGTGCTGTCTCTGCCCTTTGCTACCCTCTGCTTATGCTGTCCCCAGGTCACTCTGCAGAGTCCAGATGATACCATCCCACTAGGCAGCCAGGTTGCTCACCGGGGTCCATGTGGGCAGCTCCTTCTGCAGCAACTCCTTGAGCTCTGCCTGACAGAGCTTGTGCTTGTCTCCACTGTGTGAGCTATATTTCTGGAAGACGACCAAAACTGTCGACAATGCCTGCTCCAGGTTCGCAGCCATCCTCACTGTCACAGAATAAGTCCTTGACTTTCAGTAGAAACAAGCCAGCCCCTCCCCGCCGCTCATCGCTGTCCAGTGTTTCCCAGGGGCAGTTCCCAGACCCATTTTGTCTCCCCCAAGGACCCCTTCTCTGAGCAACCTTTCCCAACACCAGTCCTCCAGACTCATCTCCCACAGTCATCATTGTAATTTTCCTGGACAAGGTCTCATAGCTCCAACACCTGTACAAACTCCTCAGAGACAGAATATCCTGCCCTGTCACCCTCACTCCCATAGTGGAGCTCCCTGAGGACTCCAACTCTCTCCCACCTTTCCTCATCCCTGTAACTCCCAGGAATGGCCTAGTGGCCCACACCGCCTTGAGATACAGCCTCTGTTCCTAAAAGTTCCTTCTCCTTTAGGATCCCAGAGCTCCTTCCAGTGGGAACATGCAGAAGGTCCTTGCCAGAGCAGGGTCTTAGCAGGGTGAGTCAGTCCTGAGAGGAAACCCCCACCACCTCACCTACTCCCCTGCACCAAACTCAAGGATGCTGCAGCCATAGTAAAAGTTGGGGTCCTCTGCCCCTTTGCACCCCTGAGTGAGCCATTTCCATCCCTGGGTCTCAGGTGTCTTCTCTGAAAGAAGGGCAAATCCCCCTCACAGACTGTGTCAGGAGCATGAGCCAGAGGCCTCTGAAGAGGCAGCCAAGCTCAGAGATTTACCAGACTATCACCTGCCTCCCATTGAGGCCACCCTGTTAGCCCCTGGGGTTCTTGAGATAGGGGGCTCCATGCAGAATTCCCAGTTCTGATGGAGGAGACCCTTTCCTGGAATTGCTCACTTCCTTAATTCCACTAGTCCCATCCATACTCTGATGACTCCACCCTGGGGAAATCCTGGGTGGCCAGGAAGGCTAGAGCTACTTCCACATGAGCCCCGTGAGTCACTCCTGGTTCCCCCAGGGGATGGGAGTCCTGCCGAGTGGGCAGCCAGGGCCAAAACTCTCTCCCCAGCAATTCTTGCTCTGGCAGGGGGATGGCCAGTATGGTGTGGCTGGCAGGGAAGTAGGATGAGAGGAAATACGGGGGGACCAACCTCTGCTAGGGTCTAATGCTTTGTGTCAGCCCAGGGTTGGAACAAAAGGTCCGTACTCCCAGGAGAGGAAAGAGCCCTGTTCTTCAGAGTCAGGTGAGCATGCCCTGCCAGGCTCCCGCCAGCCATACTGGTGCCAGCTTTGTTGCTATATAGAAGCTCAGGGCCTACAAACAGGCAGGAACACTCTCTTCCCCATATCCCTGGCCTGTCCCAATCTGTCTCCTCTAGGGAAGCAAGGAGGAAAGGAGGAAGGCAGGGAGCCAACTAAAGACAACACCAGAACTTTCAGCCTATGGCCAACCCTATGGCCAAGCCCTGGCTCTGCACACTCCCAGTCCAAACTTCCCATCAGCCCTCATTACTGTATGGGGGATCCCTGCATCCACCATAGCTGATTCCCCTTACTCCATCACCTGCCATGGTCATTTCTCCACCCCCACGCTCAGACCCCAGTCAAGAGACCAACTGGACATCAGGAGTTCCCTGAGCAGCACTGACACTCAAACCAGGGCAGGACCCATGCAGCCAGCACTCACCACTGGTGTTGTCCTTGCAGCTGTGGGAGCTTACAGACTGGTGTCCCTATTTGTAGCCTTCCTAGGAATGAAAGGGGCAATTATGGGCATCCAAGTAGGTCAACACTGAGGCTGCCCCCAGGGGCTCCTCTGGATCTTTTCCTCACTAGCCCCTTTTACAGGTCCCCCGCCCACCTATCCATGCATACATCAAAGATCCAGGCTGAGCTTCACACACTAGTCATCGTTCCCCCTGTACTCTCACCCCAGGACTGGGAACTGTGGACAGCCTTCTGCCCCCACCCTTCCATCGTGGCTGGAGGAGACAGGCCTGGCTCATATCACAGCCCCTGCCACATTTCTTCTATCTGAAGAGGCACCCTCACTTAGATTGTAGCTCATGTGGGAGTGCCTTGGAGAGCACCTGGCTGAGACCCCCCCCCCATGAGAAGACTGAGGCTATCCTAGCTCTGCTACCAGCCACAGACTCCTAGACTACTTGAATTGGTTGCTTTTGGCTATGAACTACATCCCCAGATGAAATTACCACGTGTCTCCTAGGGGTGTTTCCAGCGGTTTGGCCTTGAGTTTTCTTGCCCCTCCACCCCAAGAGACATGAATGAACTTGGGCTACAGGCTCCAGATAGCGCTAGCTTGTGGCTAGAGTCCCCTAGGGGCTGTTTTCCTGCTCAGTTCAGCAACTCTAACTCTCCTTGAAGACCTGGAGAGATAGGGTAGAGTTCTCTCTGCCTTTCAGCTTAACATGTAGCCCTTTGGGGTCCCAGCATAATAAGGGGTGACTCCCACTTGTGTTCCCGCCTTGAGTGAGCCTGGTCTGCAGCTTTCCCAAATCACTGAAGCCAAAGCCCAAGTTTGGCTTGGTTTGGCCAACATCCTCAGGGCATGAGGGCCCTGGCGCCCTGCTTACTCCTGATTCTGTTTTCAGTTAGATTTTCACTGACTCATTCCTTCCTGCCTAACAAAGATCTTTGATGCTTTGAAAAAGATTATTTTGATTCTAGCCAACAGTTCCTGCTACAGTAGACAGGGTCCACCATATTACCAGAAATGTAAATCCCTTCACACTAGTTCACTAGCCTATGCTTAACCCTAAGACTTCCCAAGTCACCGAAGGAATTTAAGGGCAGGAGGAATCTGGGAAGGGAACAGGAGCTTGCCTTTGAGGCCTATGAAGAAGCTCCAATGCCTGTGGCAGCACCCAGAGATCCATAACTTCTCCCTGGGCCCAGCCCCCAGCCTTGCCTAAGCCATCATGGAGACCCTCGTCTCATAGCAAGAGGAGTGACCAATGGCGCAAAAGAAGGAAGAGCTATGATTAACCCTGCTGTAGAGGTCAGGAGTTATGCGCCCCATAACTCCTGACCTATAACAAGGGCATAGGACTCCCCATAACAAGGGCACAGCAGGCATCAGGACTGGAGTGGACCAACAATTAACTCTGTCCTAAGTCAATCAGTCAGGCCTTCATTTTCCTCATCTGTCAGTAATAGAAGCACTGCTGTGGGACTTAAATGAGTTAACATAATACAAATCTTGTGGAATAAATAGTTCCTAGCACATAATAAGAGCTTGATAAATGTTAAGCAGGAGGCAGTAATTTACCCAAGGTCATATAACTAGTGAGTGGCAGCATCAGGAGCCATTGGCCATCCGTGTAAATATTTAAAGGCATCTATGGTAGGCATTGAGGGTGTACCCGTGAACAGAACTCACACGGTGCCTGCTCTGGGGAGATGGCAATGCAGTAGAGGAAGCACACGATAACAAATGAGTGTTCCATAGATTCAAGATATAATCCTTATGAGGAAAAACAAACCAAAGGTAAGAGAAAAAAATTATTTTGGTAGGGCTGGTTGTATAGCCCAGTGGTAGAGCATTTGCTTAGCTTGTGTGAAGACCTGAGTGGAATCCCTAGCACTGCACAAAAGAAAGGGTGGAAGGCAATGAGAGAGGGATACAGGGATGCAGGGGGAAGGGAAGGGTGAGAGGGAGGAAGGAAGGAAAAGATGGTGTTGGTGAGGAGCAGTTTTATATGCATAGTCAGGGCACGCCCAACAGCTTGGCTTCAGAGTCCTTGCCCTTCCCCACCATCCTTTAATGATGCTGGGCATAGCCATGCCTTCCTGGGATGTAGCACTTCTGCCCACTGGAAGAGACCAGACCAAGACTGCAAAGGGACAGGAGCACACTCTGGGACACTAGAGTCAAAAGGTAGCTGGGACCCAGAGAGAGCTTAGTACAGGGTTGGAACATGATCATGCAAAGAAACTTTAACAGGGCCCTCACTGAAGCTCCACCATGCTTCCTCACCTGACCTTGGTCCATTATGCCATTTACCTTATTAGCACCTAATCCCCATGCCCCCAAATTGGATTTGGAAGATTCCTGTCCTAAGAATTCAGTTAGAGTGCTGCATCCCTGGATGTCCCTGTGGACAATGTTAGGACAGCAGTGTCTGAGTCCACCCGCAGACACGCACTGACTTGCCCAGGTGGAGGTTACCTTCTCCTCACCAGGTCATCTTGTTCAGGCTTCTGTCTCCATGCAGATGGAGGACAGAGCTGTAACTTCTCTTCCCTTGCTCCCCCAAACTCTCCTTAGAGTGACTGAAATCATCTTGTCCTCCTGGAAGTTCTCTAACTTCTCCCCTGAACCCCCTTTTTTGCAATAGCTCCAAGTGTATACCATATGAACTGCCCCCAAGACCCAGACAGACCTCCTCCCTTCGGATCCTCTAGCTGAGCTGAGCCCAGCACTGTTGACTTCTCACCTTCCGTCGCTCCCACCCCACAGATGTGGAGTTGACCGTGGAAGAATGCACCACATTTGGAGGTAGGACACTCTCTCCTTGAAGGAACAGCAGTGAGTGTACAAAAGGAGAGAGCAGATGCTATCCGATCTGGCAGGACTTCTTACAGCACTGACCTTCCCCCTCTCCTTCTTCCTCCCCTGTCTCTGCCTATCTCCACCATCAATGGCTGCCCGAAAAGGCCAATGTCTAGTCCCTCACCTCCAGGCAAAATAAGATGAAATGTCCTGTGCACCTGGACTTCCATATAGTTGTGCCAAAAGGGCCTGGGCCCCAGGGATAGGATAACCTGCTCCATCCCACAGACCCACGGAACCAACGCACTGACTGGCTTCCTTTCTCATCTTCTGAGCCAACTATAGGGAAAGCATGGGAAAGGGTTTTTTGGTTACTGCAGCTAGAGTGGAGCCAGGGAAGCCTTCGCTACAGAATTGGGGCAGGAGGTATGATGAGGATCTGAACTGAGGGCCAGAAGGGCATGCAGAACTCAGACCTACTACCTTTTTGACTGTAAAGTCAACAGCTGGTTGTGTCCATTGCACAGATGAGAACAATCACTCAGTGAAGAGATCCAATAGCCTACAAAAGGAAGCAAGGGGTCCCAGTTAAGTACTGCCTTGTCTTAGATCCTGTAACAGGGAAGGGTGGGGCAGCTGAATAATCCTCTAGCTTCACTTGATTTTACTTGACTTTAAAAATCACTAATTTTGGAGACTGTGTAGCTGTTCAATAGTCTCCCACTAGCTTATCCCTGACCTGTGAATTACGACAGCAGTTACCTACCTTACTTTTCAAGAACTTGAAGGCTGCTTTTGGTGAAAGTATGAGCTCTTCATTCAGACCTGAAAAGTGCCAATGGATGACTCCAGCAGGGTGAAGAAACTTGCCATCCCTGCCTCCATCTTGCGTCTGTGTCCTGTTCTACAGGTCAGATTTCTGCTCAACTCTGCATATAGATGCGTTAGTCACTTAAGAAGTATTTGTCCCACACTTTAGCACAGTATCTATTTGTCCTAAATTTATCCAGTCTCTCTCCTCCTTCTTTGTGGTCGAAAACATTCAGATAAGAGTAGTAAGATAAGTTCAGGATTTGCAGGAGCATCACAACCTTGTGATCATGTGCATACCATCCACCAGGTTTCCCAATGACTGGGCCTAGGCCACAGGAGAGGTATCCAAAGTGTCCTTTCATCAGTCCTTTTCTAATCTAAGTGCTGCTTTCTAAGAATAAAAAGGAGTTTGAAACCTAAACTGAGTTAAGATGAGGAGGTTTTTTTTTTTTTCAGAGTACTAGCCAGCCATTTCCTCTTTTATAGGCATCCACGTAAGTCTTTGTCCTTGCCCCATTAACTTGACCTCAACTCACCCTAAATCTTTTCAAGTGGTGTATAAATGGACTTGGGTTTAGTAACAAACCCATCTTTGCCTTTAGTTTCCCTTTTCTCAGAGGGTTAATGGACTTGGGTTAATGGGGTTGACCCAAAGGACCGAAGGTCAAAGTGACAGTAAGATCTAAGAGTGTTACAGACAGCTGAAAGAATGGTATCCAGTTAGAAAGGAATCAGGCCCAAGATGGAGTCAGAGCAAAGGTTAGGTAAGCCAGACCTATGGTCAGGGACTGAGTTGATAAAAACTAGATCCTAAGATGGAGACACTATGGCTAGGCCTGCATGTCTCCCCAGAGATAAATAACAGTCCAAAGCTACACTGTGACAAGCACCATCTAGTGTAGTGAGTCTAAGAAATATAACACATCGAAACAGTGCAACAAAGAGCTCAGTGACAGGACACTCTGACCCTCGCTTCTACCCCTTCCAGAAATACCTTTGCTCTTCTCCATCTCTGTATCCTTGCTATGTACCTTGTTTTCCTATTAAGTCAATATTAGCTAAGTGACTCTACTTGTAATCCTATAGGTTGGCTGCAGTTTGACCCAACATAGCCCATGATATGATTTTGCTGTATAACAACTCCCTAGACAAAGAGTTCAGTGGAGACCCACTTTCAGGACCCCTCTTGCCACCAGGAGGTGTCTCCTTTTTTTTTAATTTTAAAGAGAATGAATCCAAGCAGAATAAAGCCAATCAAAACAAACTAATGTAAGTGGCACAGAGCTTCAAAACAATACGAAATCAACTATGGTTACCATAATGCCTTTTGTTGTCTTCAAAATAGCTGCTAATATCTTCAGACATAGTAAAAATCAAACAAAACAGAACAGTATAGAACCAATAAAAACAAAACAATTACTGCAATAGAAGATTTCAGTAAACCCAATATGGCTACCATAATGTATCTTGTTATCTTTGAAATAGCTGCTCAGACCATGGGATATAATAAAATCAAATGAAACAAAAGAGAATAAAACCCAACCCAACAAAACAATGAAAATGCTACAGGACTGCTAAACAAAATGATAATTAACAATGGCTACTACCTTCAGAAAGATATCCCCCATAGATGCTACATTGCATATTGTTATCCTCTGAATAGATGATCAACTTTAGATCTGCAAAGTCAGTGAAACACTAAACACTACAAGCATTAAATTGTATTTTACCTCAATAATGGTGATAGCATCACAGCCTGTTTTTCTCCAGATCAGCTGGTCACTTGCAACAAGGGAAGGACTGGTTCTTCTTGTTTCCCAGCCTTTGCATTGGAAGGGGCTGGCATCTGGCACTCCCCTCAGTGGCCCATGCATGGCGTAGATTCTCAGGGGGGGCTTGCTTCTTGGTGACTTCTTGTTCTGTTCCCCCGAAGTCCATGAATGGCACTGACTCACAGGAAAAGGCTGACATCTGGTTCTCCCCCAGAGGCCCACACATGGTGCTGAATTGCGGGGGAGAGCGGGGGGGTGCTTCTTGGTGACATTTTGTTCTCTTCCCCTGCAGTCCACAAATGGCCAGGGTATGTTTCTTAAAGCTTTCCTACTCTTCACCTCCCTTGTCTTCAACTCCACTCCATTCTTTGGTGTCTTGAGACACAAACTCCACACATCTAACAGTTTGGGAGTTACTTCCCAATAACAACAGCAGATGAGATTCTTAAGACTCTGGTCCCAGCAGCAATTCCAGAAGGAATGGAAAAGAACCTACCAACAGATCCTGCACAGTATTACTTCCAGACCTTTCTCCCTGCCTTGCCATAAAATGGAGGAGGGATTGTTGAGACAGATCAGTAAGTCTGGTGTTTTCAAACACCTAGAAAGAAAGATTAGCCTCTTTTGGAACTCTCTAGTGGGTACAAGTACAGAGGCAGCCATCTGAGGCCAGGGTCCACCAGCCACAATAGTCCTAGAACCCAGAACTGAGAAGCTAGGACCCACTGTGAATCTCAGACCCCAAGGAAAGCCATCACCCTAATCCAACCACCAGTGAATAGACTGGATCTCCACTGACTTGAGGTGGGGAGACCAAGGGCGTCTGAATTCCATTCAGCCAGCTCCTCTGCACCTCACACAAGGCCCAATGCTCTGGAGATGACTATAAGAAGTGGAAGGAGACCCAGGTTGCCACCCAATGTCCCTAGAGGGTGAGGACTACATTTCTCACAATGTAGGCCAAGTCAGGACCTTACTTAATCTCTCTCAGGCTCTATTTCCTCATCTGTGACACACTGAGAGTAACACCCCTCATCCAGTACTGTGAGGATGAAACCAAACAGTGCTTGAGTGGGCCTCGTAGAGCGCTTGGCCAGAGGGGCTGCTCCACAAAGGGCCCTAATGAAGGTTCCTTCAGGTTAGCAGGAGGCTGAAATGACAGTGGGCATGAAAGGAGCTCTGAGAACTGCTGCAGGCATGTTAATCACCATCGTCACGGATGCCTGATCTGTATTTATTGGCTCCTTTCTGATGAGCTGCTAGGAAGGTGGGCTCCCCTCTCTTTGCTGGCATGAAAAGGGAGCAGCTGTTCTGGGGGCCTGCAATGAAAGGCAGACAGTGAGAGAACAGGCTGTTGTCACAGCACCGTCACACTCAGCTCCTTCCCCTCTCTGATGCTCCGTTAGTGGTTCCCAAGCACACAGGTTTCTAGGGAAGTAAGAAAAATGAAGAAACAATTCAGAAAAGTACTGTTCCTGCTTGCCCACTGTCCATCCCCTTTCTTTATTATTAAAACATTGTTTTCTTTCAAAGCGTCAATATGCCCAGTGAGAAGCATTCAGTTACAGCTATGAGTAGCCCTATTACCTACTTAAGGCCAGAAAGAAAATGGCCTGAGGAAGGTAATTAGCTATAAACATGACATTTCTTAAGGAAAAGAAAGAGCTCATTCTGAACAGGCAGCCAAAAGCTATGAAGATCCGTTTTTCTAGAGAACAGAACCAAGCCCAGATGGAGGACATGTGTCTGCCTCTGCTTCAGAACCGCAACAGCCCAGTAAGAACTTGTGTCTCCGATACCATCCACCACCACCACCACCACTGCTGCCCTTTCAAACAGGAGTTTACTGCAGGTGCCTACCTTTGTCTCAGTGAACGCTTTCCTCTGGGGGCTTTGGGTCATGAGGAATCACCACGAGGAGCAACACTGGATGGCTGCACTCAAGGAAGCTCATTTGTATCTGGACCTGGCTTACATAACCAGAGCTTTCACTTCAAGTCAGTGCTTTATTAAGACAAGGCTCTGTGGGTCTTGGGAAGGAGATGAGTGTCTTCTGAACATAGGAAAGATGTGAACTATTGCTAGGAAACAGATTGTAGAACCAGGCACAGTGGAACATAGCTGTAATCTCAGCACTTGGAGGCTGAGGCAAGAGGACTGCTGTGAATTGAGGCTCACCTTGGGCTACATAGAGAGACTTTGCCTCAAAAAAATAAAGTAGAGGGCCAGGGATTTAGCTCAGCGGCATAAGGGCCTGTCTTGCAAGCCCATGGTCATGAGTTCAATCCCCAGTACAAAAATAAATAAATAAAGTAGGAAAAAAAAGAAATAGATAATGGTACATACAGTATGACCAAAAATATATGATGAATGTTTAAATTTAAATGTAATTAAACATTTAATTTTAAATTTTAAATTACGATGGTTAAAGACAGTACCATTAATCCTCTCCAAAATTCTTTCTCTCACTACAAGCACACTTATCCTATCATTCCGGCCACTTTCAGAAGCAGTTTTGACAACCAGGCGTGATGGTGTATGCCTGTAATTCCAGCACTCAGGAGGCTGAGGCAGGAGGATCACTGCAAGTTCGAGACCACCTTGGGCTACAAAAGTGAGCTCAAGGCCAACTTGAACTGTATAGTGAGACTCTGTCTCAAAAAGATGCAGTTTTGGAAGTCCTCTTTCATGAGTGTCAGTCGCATTGTCATGGCTGTCTTTATGACAGCCTGAACTGATTCAAAATATTTACCTTTCATGGTCATTCTGAATTTAGGTAAGAGTTATAAGTCACACAGTGCCAGATCTGGTGAATAAGGTAAATGAGGTCATAATGTTTTTATGGACCTGCCTTTCCCTTGGATGGCACTGGGAAACAGCCTCACTGTATTTTTTAATCACACCTTGTAAAGACACTCAAGAAAGGGCTTCCAGAACTGTTGCAGAAAGTGACAAGAAAAGAGGGATAAGTGTGTTTGAAGGGGGGGTACTTTGAGGGGAATTTATGACATTTTTAAAATGTAAACATTCACCATATTTCCTATCACCCTTTGTATGGCCTCTAAGAATGGTCACCATCAAGGTCATACATGCTGCACCTTACATTAGAGGATGTCTAGTTCCCTTCCCATAGAATCTGAGCCATGAACTTGTCCATGAGTAATTTGCAGCAGAAAATATATCCTGGCATTTCTGAAACAAATCTTAAGATCTGCAGATTCCATGTAGGCCTCTTGAGAAAGGTCCTCTTGGAACCCAGCTGCCATGCTGTGAGAAGCCCAGACCACATAGAGAGGCCACACCCAAGCCATTCCAGTTGAGCTCCTGGCTAATAGCCAGTGACAGTTACAAGGCTTAATGAGTGAGCACCCCTGGGCTTTCATTTAACTTCCAAATGACTCCAGACTCAACTTGCATCTGCAATGCATGAGATACCTGGAGTGAGAGATCTCAACTGTATACCAACAAAACTAAGAGAGATAACAAATTTATGTTTTAAGCCGCCACTTCTGAGCCACTGGCCCACACCTGAACTGCTAACCCAGATTTCTCTGTTAACTGCAGAAATAACCCAGCGAAATTTCGATATATTTTCTTAACCCTTTGATGTCTGAGAATGTCGTCTAGTCAGCCCAGACTGATTGGGTCAGATATTTCAGTGCCACCATACTGTCACTGCTAGTCAGGGTGACCCATAACAGGTGCCTGAATACATTTCTAACTTACAGAGAATTTGGTAACAAGAAATGGGATGCATAAAGAGAAAGGTCCTAAAATGTGAACTTGGACAAAGGTAAGAAAGAAAAATATGAGGCTTTAGCCTTAGTAGGTCAGGAAGTTGGCGTCCTTTGTTATGAAACAACAAAGCCTCTGGTCAAGCTGTCTCCTGACATGCCTTAGGCTGCAAAATATAAGGAAATCTGGGATACAGCTTTAGGAAAGTGGCAGAAAGAACAATTTGGCATGAGCTGGCTTCTAGGAGCTTTTATCAGAAATGAACAGAGGAGGAATGAACTCAAAATAGAGCTAGCCAATCTGGAAGTAGATATAAAAATAAATACAGCTTTTTTAAAAACTAGCTCCCGGCCTACGGCCTATAATCTGACACAGAGTAGTTGAAACAAGGCTTTGGGGGGTGAGTTAGACTCATTTGTGTCTCTGGAGCAAATCTTAACACCACTTGTTGGTCACAGTATTGAATATTAAGGTTTTTCCATTCTGAGATTATACCCGTCCTTCCTTTTTGGAATTAAAATGCTCCCTTTTTTATGAGATAATAATGATGGTAGATGGTATTTGCCTTCTTTAGTATCTTTATTTGGCAAACATAGATGACGCAAACCTATTTTAATTCCCGACTTTTTATTTGTGTCTGGAATTTCAAAAACTGGGACCTGAGGCACAGCTCTGGCCTCAGGGATATTTCAAGAAAAAGAGTTCGGGTGCAGAACAGGGTGGGGTCCAGGAGGTACTCATTCTCCAGCCCTTGAACCGACCCAACTGGATTATAAGGATCAATGAGCCATAACTGCCATGTTCTGCACAGCTCTCAAAGTTAGGGAGTGCCAGGACAGCAAGAGGACACAGAAATGAGAGAGCTGAGGTCAGGCGGAGCCTTCTCTTGTGTGATGGGAGGAAAAGACCTGCTCAACCGATGCGGGGCGTTTATTCATGCCTTTGGCACGTCGATGTCACATGACACTCCCTTTGCGAGCAACCCATTGTTCGAATTGTCAGGGAGCTTAGTGTTCTCAGACTGAAAGCAGCTTGTTCGCTTGGCTTGCCTGGGACACTGTTCTCCCACGGGATTGCCTCGCACCCGCACATGTGATCAATTACCAGCTTCAGCCTCTCCCTATTCATTACTCTATGATCAAGAATGAAAAAAAGTTTATTGAGTATAAAATTAAAAGGGATACAGAGTCTTCTTAGGCCCAAGAGACCCACAGCAGGAAGTGAAGAACTCCCCTTCAGGACTGGCATGGGTAACCCTGGAAGAAGTCTTTGGACATAATAGTGACTAAAGCCAGAAAGATCGCGAACTCCTTAAAGTCCACCTGCTTGTCACTGTTCTCGTGGAGTTCACCCATCAGCTTCTTCAGCCCCTCCTCCTCTACAGGCCCTGAAAACGAGGGGAATGGACTCATCTCCACCCCCAAACCCCACACATAAGTCAGTGCCCAGTCATCCTGGCTCCACAGCAAAATCAGTGCAAGAAGCATCCTGGGCGCTGATTGGTGGGAGTCACCAGCTGCCCTGTTAGGGGCGGGGCTCAGCTCCAGCCCAGCATGGCATCATGGACCTGTTCTGCCGATGAGGAAACTGAGGCTTGCTTCTCCCCATCAGCAGCGAGATGGATTCAGAAAAGGCAGGCTTTTTTTTTTAAGTTTTATTGAAAAGCACCTATACTTCCACTGCATGGTAACACACGAAAACAAAAAACACTGGTTACAAGAGTATTAAAATATAAAAGTATTGATAAATTTCACCCCAAAGTTTACAAGACCTAAATATAGAAAACTAGAAAATACTACAGAGAAATTAAAATTTTCAAGAAACACTTTAAGGGGAAACACTCGAAGATAACAATTTTCCATGAAAATCCAAAAGACTTGAAATCATTAAAACAATTTTGAAAAAGAAGAAAAAACTTTGAAAGGCTAACATGACATTATTTCCAGAATTAATACACATTTATAATATCTTATTTACTTTTTCAACTTCTCACAATTTTTTAATACCAACCAAATGATTAGGGAAAAAAAAAACTTTTTTTGGTTTTTTTAAGACCGGTCTCACTATGTAGTTCAGGCAGGCCTTCAACTCACTACACAGTTCAGGCTGTTCTCAACTTTGCAGCAATCCTCCTGCCTCAGCCTCTTTGTTGCTGGGGTTACAGGTGTGCACCACCGATGATTAGAAAAATTTTAAACAAACAAACAAAAGAGAAAACAAGAGCAAGGCATGGCGATACATGCCTATAATCCCAGCATTCAAGAGGTTGAGGCAGGAAAATGGACCGTAAGTTCAAGGCCAGCCAGGGCTATACAGTGAGTTCAAGACTGGTCTGGACTACTTAGCAAAACCCTGTATCAAAAAAAAGGCGGGGGGGGGGGGGGACAAAAAGAAGGAAAGAAGGATCTGCCTCCCATGTACTGGCAAGGAGCCAAGTGAGAGCTGACGGCATTTCTTGGCAGAGTGTTCCAGGGTGCATGTCTTAGCTGGGCTTAATTCTCCCTATATAGCTTCTTAGTCTGGCATATAAATATGAAAAGTAAGAGTTGTAGGGAGTGCGTGGTGAGCTGTATGATCTTGGGCCAGTAGCTTCCCCTTTCTGGGCTTTGAGTTGTTCAGTTCTCCAATGAGAGTACTAAACAGATGGAGTCTGGGAGTCCTGACAGGACGAGGTCCTCAGGAATTCATAACACACTCACGGGAGGGCCTCACTGCCACTCCAGTGGGGCTGGGAAGCAAATCTATTAGGTAAGAACCTCAGCCCACCCCATGTCTGCATCAGCAGGTACCCAGAAGTGGAAGAGAGAAGACATGCTGGCCCCACGCTTTCCTCAGGACTCTGCCCCCGCCCAGGCTGTCCCACTCACCACCACTAGGCTAGGCAGCTCCTTCTGCATAAGTTCCTCCATGTCCCCTTTGTTCAGCCTAAACTTGTCTTCATCTTACCAGCATATTTGCAGAGGGTAGAGACAACCATCTGCAGTGCCTGCTCTGGGGCCATACTGGATATGGGGCTGAAAGACACCAGCAAGGTGTGCATTCCAGGATGCAGCGGCCAACCCTGCCTTGTGCCCCCTCCCAGCCCTCTCAGAATGGGAAAGCAGGGACAGTGGCTCCCCAGGGGCAGGCCCTGGCTGCTGTCTTACACCACAGGCAGACACTAACCCCTTCCTGCATCTGGGACTGACAGAGGGTAGGGCCTTCTGTCTCCCTTGACCAGGTTAGGGACACCTCCAAGGGCAGGACTCCCTGTTTTTGTGCCTTTGGGAAGGGAAATGACAGGGTAACCTGAGTCCAAACTTGGCTCCTGGCTGCAGCAAGCAGTGGGGTGCATAGGCACATGACATGCTGGCTCATAGGGTAACTTACGCTGTCTGGCGGTAGCCAGGCTGAGGGCTAGCAGTCCAGGGCTCCCTGAAAGAGTCATTCCCGCCTCAGGCCAGGAGCCTCTGGAGCCAGGGCCTCTGCCATCTAACTGGAAGCTCCCTCTTGGGCAGGGATTCTGGGGAAAGGTGCTTTCCCCTCATCCCAGAGGCCCTGTGTCATGGGATACTGTCTCTATGCAGATAGGGATGGGGTTGGGGGCTGAGCTTCATATTAAGGAAGTTAGCCAGGCAATGATGGTACATGCCTATAATCCCCGCATTTGGGAGGCCAAGGCAGAAGGATCACAAGTCTGAGACCAGTTGGGGATACATAGTAAGACCCTGTCTCAAAAACACCACATTAAAGAAGCTAAACATGGGGCTGGGGATTTAGCTCAGCAGCATAAGCGCCTGCCTTGCAAGCAGGCAGTCGTGAGTTTGATCCCTGGTACTGATAAAAAAGACAAAAAAAAAAAAAAAAGAAGCTAAACATTCAGAGACTTGGGATGGGGGTGGAATCTGGCTACACAAGAACAACTTCAGAGGTCATTTTCTCCATGGCCCTGTCTCTGAGAATGCCAGGATCAGCCTGGAAAGGTTGGGCAGGCCCCAGCTTGATGCCAGAGGCAGGGAAAATCATAGACCGGCCCACCAGCCACACCCTGCCAGCTGCGCCCTGCCAGCTGTGCTCTTGTCCAGGCAGGAAAGCGTGGAGAGCAGCCCTGGGAAAAGCTATGCTGCTACTCAGGGCCGGACCCAGGTGGGACCAGGCTCTTGAAAGCCATTGCTTCTTAATCCTGCTAGAGTCCAGGGCTTTGTACAAAGCAAAAGCAAAGAGCAAACAAACTCAGGAGTGTTGTTAAAGCAGCCCTTTCATATCCATCACCTACTAAGATACAGGTCTAGATTCCCAAAGAGAACCCCTCACTGAGACACCCAAGTAACCCACAGAGAGACATGCCCCAAAGTGACCCAAGAGACAGCCTCAGAGTAACACCAAATGAGATCTCACAGAGCAACCTGGAGAAACACTACTCAATGTGACACATCACAGAGGTTTCCCCTGTGGAAGAGACCCAGAGAGGCTGGAGGCTAATCCAGCCAAGGACAACAGAGAGAAAAGTATAGAGACTGGGTCAAGACAGAGGGACAAAAATGAGTCCAGATCCTCAAACAGACAGAGACACTCACCAAACCAGGTGGCAAAAAGAACCAGGAGGGGAGCCTAGTGTCTAGAATTCTAGGGTAGGGATTTATAAACCAAACCCACCAGCTGCCAAATCTATAACTCCACCAACCAAACCTGCCCCCTAACCTGACCTTGCCACCGCCTGCATCCTGCCATCCACCCACTCTCTCTCAGCTTCGCAGCTCAGCCACCAGTTGGAGGAGAGCTCTGGGCCCAGAACGGGGTGTTCCCTGAAGCACCCAGACCTAAGCATCCACAGAGAGGGGACCTGGGGAAGGGGCAGTCCTGGCCAGGAGAAGGGGATGCAGCCCTGTTGTGGGGCCTGGAGACCTGTGCCACGCCTCAGTCTTAAGACACACTTGTGAGTTAACAGCTCACACCTGTGTCTGTAGGGACACAGCAGGGGGAAATGCACACTCTTACATGTGTGTGTATGAGGGCAGCAATCTGAAGCCATCTTTAGAAAGCTAGAGACCAGAAAAGGGAGCTGAGGCATCGTGGGAGGCATCAGGAGGAGGACAGCTAATGTCAGAAGATGGGGAACATAAAGTCACCTTTAGTGGGCTGAAAATAAACATATGGACACCTCTCAAGTGAAGAGGCCAAGCTCGAGGCAGGGGCACCAGCTGGTTCACTGCCTCTCCAGCCCCAGCATCCAATAGCTCCCACCCACACCAGAGGAGGACAAGCTGTTTTCAGGGAAAAAGCTTCGTCTCCCCGCTCCCAGGCCCCCTTCTCCTGCTCATTGCCTGAACCAACCACAGCTGGGCCCCACCCTTCCTGTAGACCAGCTCCCCTCCCCCTCCACATGCCCAGCAGCTCTCCCCCCATATCATAGGTGACTCACCCGTGGTTGCAGGCCCAGATGCCCAGGCAGTGACTCAGCGGCACGCCCTGCTCCCCAGGGCCAGGGCAGCAGCAGCCAGATACCCAAATCTGAGAGCACTGGCCTGGAGACCCTTGCTCGGCAGACACAAGAAAGGGGAAAGTGACACCCACAAGATCAGACCGTGAACCAGGCTGAGTGGCATATGTAAAGTGGACCTTGGGGCCCCAGTGTCTTTTTCTATATCTTTGCAAGGGCACACTGGGTCCCCTTCTCTCTGCAAGTCCCTTAATCTCCTCATGCTATTGCTCTTCCATTAAAACCTTCTTCACGGAGAATTCGGTAAAATCCCTTCTCACTGTGGGTGAGGATCATGGCAGTACAATGTACTGCTGCTCTCAGTAATGGCCCCTCTTAACTGCAGAGTGACCCCAGACTCTGGTTCCCACCTACTTTCCAACCTTCCCACACCTTCCCTGTAACTGGTCACTCTGCTCAGAATGTGACCACGCACCACATCTCATGCTGAGCTCCCACCTTGTTGGGTGAGTATGGTGGCTCATGCCTGTAATCCTAGCACTCTTGGAAACTGAGCCAGGAAAATCACAAGTTTGAGCCCAGCCTGGGTAATTTAGCAAGCACCTGTCTCACAGCCAGGCATAGTGCACACCTGGAATCCCAGCACTTGGGAGGCTGAGGCAGGAGGACTGCTGCGAGTTCAAGGCCAGCCTGAACTATATAGTGAGTTCAAGGCCAATCCAAACTATATATCGAGACCTTGTCTTAAAAAACAAACAAACCCAAAAAAGTCTGCGGATATAGCTCAGTGCAAAAGCCCCAAATTTAATCCCCAATACCAGAGAGAGAAAGGGAGAGGGAGGGAACAATCCCACCAACCCTTCAAAGGCCAGTTAAATGCCAGCCACTTCATAGAACCTGCCCATGCCCCAACCAGATTCAGTTTCTACTTGATCGGTCCCACACAAAGCACCTTTGTGTCCCTCTGTCCTCAAGGCAATCCCCTTTAGACTGAGTCACTTGTGCACCCCTAATGGTGAGCTCACCAGCCAGGCACTGGTCTTTATTCATTCTATATGAGCAAAGGGTCTCACCCACACCAGATGCCAACAGTGTTTATGGCTGCTGAATGGCAGCAGGGGTCACTAGGGGACTAGTTAAGAGCCAGCAGGCCAGGGAGACCCCTCGATGCCTGAAATCACATCACTGATTACACCAGCAAAGAATAGCTTCTCAGTTCCCAGGAGTGGAAAATAGAGCTATCAGTCTCTGCAGAGAGAGCACAGGAAGCGACCCACCCCTGGAGACCCAGTGAAGGGGCTGAGCAAATTTCCCAGCAGGCTGGGTCAGAAACAGGAGGCTGACAAAGAAGAACAAAGAGGCAGTCATGGCAAAACCAGAGGAAGAGCAGCCAAGGAACTATGAAAGGGAAGTGGGGAGAGACATTAAAGAGAAGCACACAGAGGGACCAGGGCAAAAGAAATAAGGTGAGAGGGCTATGCAAAGTCCGCAGCATCTGGGAACCTATCCACAACCAGGTGTCCCATCTTAGGGACCAAGGCCAGGACTGTGCCTATCTAGTGGCCATGGCTCTGAGACTGATTTGCTGTGCAGCCTGGAACTACTGCATCCTCAAGAGAGGACAGGCCAATTGTCCCTTTCTGTTCTGGTTCTTCAACTCTCCACAAGGCAGAGAAGCCAGGACATGGTGCGTGGCAGGAACATCGAAGGCAAGGACTATGTCCACGCCCAGCCTGGGAAGCTGGGTCCTCACATTCTGTCCATCCCTTCACTCAGCTACTGTATACCTGCCAGGAGTTTTGCCTGCCTAGCTTCTGCCCTCTGGTGGTTGGTACATGCTGTATCCCCCTCTCTCCCGCTCCCTCTCTCTGTCTCAGGCCAGCTTCTGACTAAAGGCAGTGCTGATTCATCTCCAGGGAGGTTTCCCACCCACACCTGCCTCATGTACAAAGAGTTTCCTAGACAACCTTGCTGAGAAGCCTAGGTCGTCTGAACTAGGAGCCGGACACCAGAAAGCTGTTTAAAAATCCCAGGGACCCCAGGCAGGAGGAAAGCAGGTGTCAGATGTGAGGCACTGGACACTTCCAAGGTCAGCCCACCTACTCTGTCCCTGGGTAGGGTTGCAGGGGGGTGCACAGTGGAGTGGGTGCCAGGTGCAAGCAACATGTGGTATAAATTATGGAACTGCTGACTCAGCCTCTGGCCTTGGAGGAACTGTACCACAGCTCCAAGCTCAGACGTTTTCACCACAAAGATCATCCCCATGCCACAAAATAAGATTTGAAATATTTTGTTACAAACATCCAGACTCCTCTCCACCCCTCCCTTGGCACCCACTGAAACCCATTTTCAGCTCTGCCACCAGGGTATGCTGCCTGGCATTCACAACAGTGCATGTCACTGCCCGGCTAGATGCCTTCAGGAGGCAGCCTTGAGCAGCGCATGCCATACCAGGCACACCCACTCTGCCAAGGTATGCACCAGCCCAGCCGTGGCCCCAACCTGCTGAGGCCATGCCCTCTCTTGAAAATTCTGCCAGTCTCCTGATCATACTTGTAGGTCAGTTCAAGATCATCTGAATCCACTTCCCAGCCTCTCCACATCCTAAAGCATGGGAATGTGCACCCACACACAGGCATGCACACACACACAGCGTAGATGAACACATGTACCTGTGTTCATACTCACAGATAGGCACTCCTCCGTGTAAACTGTGCAGCCTCTTTAGCCCATGGCCTTAGAAGATCATTTCTTAGGTTTCATCGTGACTGCTCACACAACTGGACTCCAAATTCTGTGAATTCCCCACAACCAGGGCAGGTATTTGTGACCAGCTGGTGGAACAACAGAGCAGTCCCTGATAGCCACCATCTTCTCCCTCTCCTTCTGTACTGCAGACACCCACTCTCAATCCCCTACTTCGCCCTGAACTTTCTGGAAACTGACCTCCTACTTACCTACCTCTTATTGTAAGGAAGCGGCTCTCTAGATGTCACAGAAACCTCCCTCTTTCAATGGCCATGCTTTGAGGAGAGGGGGGAGCAGCCCCTCCTCCTCCATCACTCCCAGAAGCTGAATGGTATAAAGGCAGCTCCCTCAGCTCCTCCTAGCAGCCTGAGCCTGTTCCTCGAACTCCTCCTTCCCCAGAGGCTTATTGCTGGTGTGCCGCCTTCTGTGAAGTGAGGGAAGGCCCTTAGGCCAAGTAGCAAGAGAGGAATATGGAGATTTATTGACCTTAGCTCAGTCACATCCACAGATCACAGCTATGTTTTGGAGCCTGACTTGCACTCTTCTTTTCAGAGCTCAAGAGAAAACTGCAAGAGAAAATTAGCACCTTCAGAGCCACCAAACTCAGCCCTCTGCCTTCTCAATCCCTTCACTATTTACCACTCACACCATTAACCAAAATTTTCCTCAGAGGAATTTGATCCGAACAAGTTCCCATGTTCCCAACTTCTAACCACTCAAACAACCATTTGTGTCCTGGTGAAAGCAGGTTACAAAAGGCCAAGTGCTGGGCTCAGATAGAGGGACACATAGCAGCCCCTGGAAGGAGGCCACAGAAGCCCCAGATCCTTCTCTCACACCTCACTCTAGGTAGCTCTTCATCTGTAGTCAATGTAGTACACTTTACAATAAACCAATAAACTAAGGCAGAGGAGAATTTAAAGCTCAGTGAAAGTGCACACCTGTAACCCCAGCATATTCAGGAAGATCACAGCAAGTTCAAGGCCAGCCTGGCCTACATAGTGAGACTGTGTCTCAAAAAAGTCTTGGATTTAATTCCTAGAACAGCAATCAGTCAATCAATTGATCAATCAATGGCTGTTTTGTGAGACAGGATCTCACAATGAACTTCTGAGTGATAATCAACAAACGAATTGTGAATATTTCATGGACAGCCTTTTTGAGGAAGCTCAGAAGATTGGTGCCAAATGCTTGTGCTCTCTGAACAGAAAACTCTGCCAAGTAAGAAACAATGGAAATGGATTCACAGTCAAAGGTTGTCTTACTTAGTTTTCTCATTGCTGAGATAAAATATCCAACACCCAAAGTAAAGGAAAAGTTTATTTGGCTCACAGTCCATAGAGGTTCAGACCTTAGTCAGCTGACTCCAAGGCAGGGTGGCATGGCAGAGGGCATCACAAAGGAGAAACAGTCTACGGTAAAGGAGGGCAGGTAAAAGGCAACAAGTGACCAGCAGTGACCCTTTTTCTGCCCCTTATATCCTTCCAGCTTCCAGTTTACCCACCCTTAGGGTGGCTAACACTTACACCCAGGGTGGGGCACCCACAATCCTGGCATTGCACCATGAATCAATCCCAGCATCACATCCTTGATCCCAGCTGCACACACCCTAGATCTTGCCACCTCTGAAAAACCCCACCTATGACTTTGAGAGGACATCTAGACACAAGCCATAACAATGGTGATTTCGGAAGATATTCCACCAATGCACATCCACTGACTATGTATGGTACAGAGCCGGTGTTTAAGTTCCTAAACCATGTGCTTTGTTAAATCCACTATGACCTCCATCAAAAAATAAAGATTGTTCCTGGGGTGGTGATATATACCTATAATCTCAGCACTTTGGGGGCCAAGACAGGAGAATCACAAACTTGAGCCCAGTTTGATCAATTTAGTGACTTTGTCTCAAAATTTAAAAATTAGGGGGCTGGGGATTTAGCTCAGTGGCATAATCACCTGCCTTGCAAGCAGGCAGTCGTGAGTTTGTTCCCTGGTACCCATAAAAACGAAAAAGACCAAAAAAAAAATTTTTAAATTGGACATTTAACAATTTAGTAAGATATTGTTTCAAAATTAAAAAAAATTAAAAGGACAGGGAATGTAGCTCAGTAAAAGGCCTTGGGCTC